TTAAATTCGTCATTAAGATTTTGTTGCGTTAACTACTCCAACAAAAAGTAAACAAATTTTAAAAATTTCATAGATTTTTGCATGTCCAAAGAAAACAAGTATTGCCTATGAATCATTATTAAATTTTCCATTATTTTTTTCCAGACGCATCCTCGTCCAATGAAGCTGTGCACTTGCAACAGCGCCTCAAGAGCCTTAGCACTGAGTTAGTCACGCTACGGAATCGGCTGCATGTTGGTCAGGGACAACACAATAACAACAATAGTAGCAATAGTAACAACAATAACAGCAATTGCAATGTGTCATCCGTGGGCAGTTCACATCAAAACCAACAACAACCACAACAACAGCACCATGCCACCAACTCAGCGGCGCTAACAGGCCACAATTTAAATGCATCCACACCGAATTTGCACACCATCACGCCACATCATAGCCATAATAACACAACAACAACAACAACAACAACAACAACAACAACAGCAACAAACAGCATTAATAACACATTGCAACAGCAACAGCAACAGCAATTACAATTATCGCACTCAACACTAATTCCCACACTCGGCGGCAATAGCAATAGCCACAACAATAACAACAACACCAACAGCAGCAGCAGCAGCAGCAACGCCATCAACAAATGCAATACCGGCAATAGCAATAGCAATAACAATAACAATAAGAACAACAATCACGCCAGCAACGCAACCTTGACGTCATGCAATAACGCCAACAACACCAACAACACATTCACGCACATCAACAACAACCACACGAACAATAGCAGCAAGGTGAGTAATCGCCTAATCGCCGGCGTTGAAATGGCCAATCGCTGCTTTTGCAAAAATTACTATGCAATTACATTCAATTACTTGTTGTCTTTTATATTTCTTGTTTTCGCATTAGTCACATTTGTACAGCTACAGCCACACATTGCCGCATAATTCCACAATTTCCGCTGCCAACGCCGCCGTCGCCGCCACATTGCCAACAGCTGCTGCCGCTGGCATCGTTTCCACACGCAACACTTCCATACCACACCCATTGCCGTCATCCATACAGCAGCAACAACAGCAGCAGCATCAACAACAACAACAACAACAACAACAGCAATTGCGCGACCAACAACAACTGCATTCCGCGCACACGCTTCCAATGCGCTCCACTGCTGTTGGCTCACACGCACATCACCTAAGCCATAACTTGTCACCCTTTGTACCAATTGCACATAAACAGCCGAGCTCCAGCCATGGCAGCGGTTTTAGCAATACTGTCGCACCTTTCGGCTATAACAGTACAAATGTTGAGCAGCGTAATGCCAATAATCAGTTTATGGGTGGCATGCAGACGCTACACGGCAGTGGCGGCAGTCACCATCACAGCGGCGGCGGCGCCAGCAGTGGCAACAACAGCATTCACAACAACAACAACAACAGCGGCGGTGGAAGTGGTGTACACAAGCAGCCAAGAGAGATTGAAGATCTGATACATCTACCCGGCCCGCTGACCGAGGATGCAGTGATGCGTACGCTGCAGGCGCGCTTCCACGACAATCGCTACTTTGTAAGTGTCGGACAAGTTTAATTGAATCCATTGAATTTCATTTAAACATAATAACATTTACTTTTCCTATGAACCAGACAAACGTCGGCCCCATACTGCTTGCCATCAATCCCTATCGAGATGTTGGAAATTCGCTTACGCTCTCCTCAACACGCTCGCTGCCATTAGCTCCACAGCTACATAAAATCGTACAGGAGGCTGTACGTCAGCAAACGGAGACTGGCTATCCACAAGCTATCATTCTATCTGGCACCTCCGGCGCGGGTAAGACACACTGTTCGATGTTGTTGCTACGTCAATTGTTTGCTGTTGCCGGTGGCGGCCCAGAAACCGATGCATTTAAGCACTTAGCTGCTGCTTTTACGGTGCTACGTTCGTTGGGTTCCGCCAAAACGACCACCAATTCGGAATCGAGTCGCATTGGCCAATTTATCGAGGTGCAGGTGACAGATGGTGCGCTCTATCGCACCAAAATACACTGTTACTTTTTGGATCAAACGCGCGTCATACGTCCACTGCCGAAGGAGAAGAACTATCATATCTTCTATCAGATGCTTGCTGGTCTAAGCAGAGAGGAGCGCATTAAGTTGAATTTGGAAGGTTATTCGCCGGCGAATTTGCGTTATCTGCAAAGTGGTGATATTGCGCAGAATGAGCAGGAGGATGCGTCACGCTTTCAGGCATGGAAGACTTGCTTGGGCATCTTGGGTATACCATTTTTGGATGTAGTGCGTGTGCTGGCAGCAGTATTGCTGTTGGGCAATGTGCAATTTATCGATGGGCAGGTGAGTTTCGCAGCAAATATTTTGTAATTATATTGTAGCTACTTATTTTAGAAAGCAAGCCACTAGTCATCTTTCGCTTGATGACTGGCTAGCGAGGAGGTGTGCTTCTCTCATAATTATTTCGGATACCTTGACCTTTCCGTTTTCCCACTGAAGTTTGCGGGAGCAACGTATACGTTTTTAGCTGTTTTTCTGATTGAATTCTTTGCTCAATTCATTGTTAAAAAAAAATTTAATAGGTGGCTGGCGGATTTCGAGCCCGACACCTTTCGGTAGCTAATAAAAGAAGTAGCACGGTCCTCTGCACGCTCAGCCACTGTCGACTACGTACATGCTATCAAATGTTCGGCTTGAAAAAATAAAATACAATTATTGCTTTCAAATAAAATCATCTTTTTGGAAAGTTTCGAACCTTTTCCGGGTACAAAATTGAATGATAATTATAGTCGTTTTCTATTCGTTTCCGGATACGAAAACCCGCAATTTTTTTTGCACGTTGATGGATATGTAAATGAACGAAAATTGTAGACGTTTGCTGTTCGTTTCCGGATACGGAAAATTATACGGGACCGCACTGTCGGCAAAATTTACATTTCTCTGCTAGCTGGGATAGAAAGGATTATGGAAATCGGTGAACGTGGTCCAAAGTTATGCGGAGACATACATAAAAAAAATATTCCGACGAATTGATAACCTGCTTCTTTTTTGAAGTCGGTTAATAAAAAATAAAACCCGAATTTCTGAGCAAATAGCAAAAGATGAAATCCATCAAACAAATCGATTTAGAAAAATTTATCCTGAGCACCCTGTGTCAATTGGTTTACTCACTCGTTTCACCATGTAGTAATGCCGTAAGATGAGCTACGGGAAAAGGTTCGTGTCAGTGCTGCAAGCAATTTACCGCCATTGATAAAATAGGCATTTGGCCACGTTCGTATGTGATTGTCTGTGGCACAATGGTAGCAGTTAATAGCATACTTCGCTAATACATCTATTGTTGCGAGTTCAAACCCCAGCTCGGCCAAAAATGGGCTAGTTTTTCTTGTTGTGATGTGTTGTTTATGTTTGGGTAATTTACGCCTGAATGCGATTTTGCATTGTGTATGTTGCGAATTTCATGACTGAACGAGAAAAAATAGCATTTTTGTATTTTAGATAGTTCATATCAGTAAGTTCAATATAATTTAATTTAATTTTCATTAGGAGTATTTTATTTAAGTTAAATTGTATTTTCTCTTTTATTTATTATATTTTTTTAATTTGCATATTTATTATATTTTATTTCAATTAAATATTTTTAGTAAATGTAATATAATTTTGTTTCAATTTCGTAAATTGTTTTTATTTATTGTTTATTATTTTTTTGAAACTTTATTATTTGATCTTTTTAGGTTTTCCTCTCCCGATATATTTCAACTTTTCTTTTCTTAATCTCTAATTTATTTAAGCATAAAATTTTTTTGGTTTTTGTTTTGTTTAATTTTGATAGTATTATTGTAATCGCGTAAATTTGGTGGAAAAAAATATCGAATAGGAAGATTGACGCTTCATATGACCCTGACGGTGAAATGAACCCAACATACATACATACATACGATATATTATATGAACGTAGAACGTAAAGTCCAAAAAGAATACCCCACACATATATTTTTAACTTTTTATTTTGATTAATTTTAATCATATCTACATGTACATGTTTTCTCAATTTTTTTATTTTTGTTTTTTCTATTTACCTATTTTATTTTTACAAATATTTTATTTTTTATTTTATTTATTTTATTGTTTTTTTTTTTAACTTATTAACTGTTTATTATTTTTTACAACTTTTATTTTATTTTATTTTATTTTACTTTACTTTGCTTTACTTTACTTTACTTTATTTCATTTGATTTCATTTCATTTCATTTCATTT